CCTTTGTGGCACTCCCACTCCTTGGTAACGGCAGCGATGTCATAATCAAGTGGCGAGCAAGACGCAATGGTGGAGTTCACGAACCTGAGAATCGCCTGTTGCTGCTCTGGATTCCCCTGCTATGTGGGTGCCTTGCCGCCACGTTGTACGGCCTGGCAGCGGAAAACCCAGGAGATTACCACTGGTTCGTCTTCGTCTTCGCCAATGCAGCGTATTACTTCGCGTTCGTTGGCGCCAACATCGCTGCAATCACGTACCTTCTTGACTCCTGTAAGTGTTTCCGGATGGACGGCATGTGAGACATACACTGACTTTACATATTTACATTTAGATCCAGCACGCGCTGGCCCTATTCTTGTTGTCATCACGGCTCTTCGAGGCTTCGTGTCTTTCGGCACCAGCTATGGTGTCGCCAGATTCATCGAGACCGATGGCTACGACGGAACGTTCGGAACGTACGCCGGACTCACGGCACTCTTCGGTCTTTTTGGCATACCCGTCTTCCTGTATGGTAAGAAGATCAGGGCCTATACCGGCAAGTGGGCGATGAAGAAGGTGTCAGGCCACCCTTCGATGTCGCACTGAGAAGACAGTCTGTCGTATGCTCGTGTCACGTCGGCGGGGAATCTACGGAAATACCAGGCAGATGAGTGGAGCTGTGTTGTATTGGCGTTGCAGCGAGACTGTTGTGTTGCTGTTTTGGCGTAGCTGGGGAAGCGCGTGCGTCCTAGTCTAATTCAGATCTGTTGAAAGTAGATATCGCTTGTAAACCCCTTGATTGGCCTTCGAGCCGTATCGTATCATGTTATGTGACTGCTTCGCCTGATCAGTGACGCTTGTGGCAGAGGTGGGCTAGCAACATACACGGGCAGTCATGTCAACAACGTAGCATTAGCTTCAATGTGCTGTATGTCCTTGGAAGGGCCCTTCAACGGCGGCCTGAGAAAGCCGGTACGTTACGGTCGTATGAATGGGTACCATGGCCTCGCATAGCAATGTCAGTGTCGGTGTTGGCTAGGTCTTCGTTGGTGATGGGTGCGTTAACGCGTCATAGGCATTGTCGGCATCAAGTCGAGTCATTTGGACAGCAGCGCACTGTGATCAGAACGCTGGATATAGTCTGGTGATCCTCTTCAGCGCCGTTATCTGGTTGTTGAGCCATGCCGTGATAGATGGGTGTCAGACGGGCACGTTGGGTAAGCTTCGTTGATGTCATAGTTTTTTATTTCAGCTAGCGAGAGAAAGCGGCCTAATCTGGACTAACGCGTCACGCTAGGCACGCGTACCAGATCAGGCGCGTTGGATGCTACTCATCCACCACCTCCCCTACCACCTTGGGCGCGCTCCAAAATCAAGCCACCCTCACACTTAGACTTCCGCCTTGATATACGGAATGCCAGTCAGCTTGAATGTCCTCTCATCCATGATCTGCTTGTTCACCGGCTCGAACCGATTGTGCGGGTCGTCCACTCCGTCTCTTTTCGCAACGTTTGAGCCTGTGTGCCTCGCGTTTGGCCAGTGGGTCGTTCCCACCCAGCGCTCGTACGCATCCTTCTTCCTGCGCAAGTCCTCTTGAGTGGCATCTTCCACAGGCATGTAGCATGTGTAGATTGCAAAACGAGGCTGCTTCGTCTTGGAGCTCAGGTTGTAGTGAGGGGTGCGGGAGTCCCACACCAGCAGATCGCCGGGCTCTGCACACACCTTCACCCACTTCAGGCCTTTCTTCTCGAGCCACTTCATGCCGTTGTCAGTGAAGCCATACCACTCTGGTGTCCACGCTGGAATGCGTTCCTCGTCCGCCATGTCTTTATGGAACTCGTCGGACAACAGGTGTCCGCCCGGACACACGATCAATCCGCCGTCCTCTGGACCATTGGGAAGCAGATTCACCAAGCCTTGCAGACACCGGAATCCAGGTTTCAATGGGTCTTGGTCTTGGTGAGGCCACGGCTTGTTTGGTGCCAAGTCTGAGCGACTAGAGCGACTGTCAGCTTGTTCGAGACACGGATGCGCCCAACATACGGCAATGTGAAGTTGATCGCATCAAACGACACGATCAAGTCCTCGGTATTGTAAACCTTCTCAAAGGCTCCAACAACGCCAGGCTCTCCTCGGATCGCCCAAGCAAAGTCTTCGTGGGTAACAGCATATTGAAGGCACATGCCCTTTTCAGTTATCAACGGGAGCTTGTCTTTGTGGACCGTGGACAAGTCATTGCGGTCGTAGCCGAGGTTGCTGGAGAGTGTGAGTGCTTTGCGATATCATGTCGGCGTCTGTACTTACAATCCTTCCAACCAGCTATACATCTTGTCTGCGTACTTGTCGGCCCTCTCCTTCGGAATTGCACCCTTGATGACTGCATAGCCATCCCTGGCCAGGTCGTCCCTCCAGTCTCCGAACGTCGTATCCGTGCCGTCCACTCTCATGCGCTGATCTTCGACGGCCTTCAGCGTAACCGACGCTGTCTTCGTTGCGGTGGAAATCATGTCGATGCGTATATTGGTCTTGGGGCTGTTTGCCGAATTGGATGAAACTTGATCGCTGTGTTGGGAAGACTGGCTTGGAGGTCATATTCAACATTCTTCTCACACAATATCTGAGCGCCTGTGCGATGTGCAGCCTTTGGCGTTGCCCACACGGGCCGAACGTGTGTGGGCCCACCTCTCCGAACCCCGATTACGACGACGGCGCGTGCGAAATGCACGAGCCTGAATACACATTGCGGGGATGTTGAGAGAAGATCTCGTAAAGTGGAGGGTAGGGATCAATTCCAGCAGGTTTCCCGTGCTAGGACGGCAAGAGGTTATCGATTATCAGGTAACCGCTTTCCCGGAATACCACCAGCATGTTTGATAAACCTCCGGCACGGCATCGTGATACCCCATCAACTTCTCTTCCTACACACCCACGACTGCGCTCACAATGTCATTGTCAACACCATTTCGGATCATCATTGTGGGCGGTGGTATCGCAGGACTGGCAGCAGCTATAGCCCTTAGGAAGGACAACCGACAGATTACGATCCTCGAACAATCTCGTCTCAGCGCAGAGATCGGCGCTACGATCTCACTACAACCCAACGCCACAAGGGTTCTAGAACAGTCGTGGGGGCTGACAGATCTGCTCAACGGCTCGAACGGCACTATCGACCACGGATTCAGGATCTACAATGCTGACGGCAAGATGGTGAATGAAATACCTCTACGGAGCAAGACGCAGTATGGCGCAGACCGCATCATGTGGCACCGCGAAGATCTCCACGCCTATCTCAAGAAGGCAGCTACATCCATCGAACGGGATGGCCAGCATGCAATACTGCGTACTTCGGCACGAGTATCTCGGTGTGACTGTGAAGAAGGCAAGGTCATACTTGAGAATGGTGAGCATTTGGAAGCAGACCTTGTCATTGGCGCGGACGGCATTCACAGTGCTCTACGTACTTCTATACTCGGTCAAGAGGCCCGTCCCAAACCCACAGGTTCCTCGGCATACCGGCTTATGCTACCGACTGCGATTCTGAATGAGCGCGCGCCACAATTCTCCGCAAACATCAACCCAGAGGAGCCCTATACTTCTATGATCATGGCACACTCCTGTCGACTCATCATGGGTCCTGCACGCGGCGGATCACTTTACAGTATCGTTGGACTGGTACCGGACGAGCAGATGAACGAGAATTCCGACGAAGCGCAGTCGTGGGTGACGAAAGGACACCCTGAAAAGATGTTGGAAACATTCAAGGATTTCCCCAGCTGGACCAAAGATGCACTCCGGAATGCCGAAAGCATCGGTCTCTGGCAGCTACGCGATTTGGATCCGCTAGATAAATGGCATTCTGGACGCGCGATTATCATTGGGGATGCCGCGCACGCTATGCTACCGACTCAAGGCCAAGGTGCAAGCCAAACCATTGAGGACGCCGAAGCTTTAGGAACGCTCTTCAGTCACATCATTGACAGGCCATCCAAGGACGAAGTGTCTTCGATCCTAGAAGACGTCTTCAAAAGTAGACACGAACGTGCAAGCTTGATACAGCGATTCAGCCGGGAAGCTGCGAAGCCTGCAACGGAACGAGGCAGCAATGTGATCAAAATGTGAGTGCAAGTCGCGCAGGTTTTTTGGCATGATCTAACCGGGACAGGCACCCTGATGAATTCATGGATTACAACTGCACCTATCGGGGAGTGCATGATTGGGAGCAAAGGCGTTCTATGTCAGCAATAACGGTCGGTCTCAAAACAACAGTAGTGGCTTAGACCAGGTCCCACACTTCGGTCGACACGGGTATTGGCGACACCTGAGCCGCACCCTCTGAATCGATGTTTCTGCTGCAATTGTAGACATAGGCGACATGGCTCGATGAGTGAGGCTTGCAATGTGAAACGTGACTACTCCCGAGGATGTTGAAGGTTCGGCAATTGATGTGCCGTCGGCTCGATTGATGTGACGGTTCAGACACACCCCGCATCTGAACAAGGGTAGGGGCGCCCACTTTCCGATGGCCGGAAGCCTTGATGCGCTTTGAACTACCTGCTCGTTTTTTCCCACATTTCCGTTCCTCAGTTCTTGAATTATGTCAGTCGAGATAGCGGTGACCCCAACGAATGCGCGACCCTCGAAACGTAAGCGGACTTCCGATGCGTCAATTGGTGGGCTTCAGTGTCAAGTCTGCCACCGATCATACGAACGTGCCGACCACTTGAACCGACATCTAGACTCACGTGAGTTTCGCTTACCGTTGGCCGTCATTCAGCGAAATCCTAACGATGCACAGACCGCAACGAGAGATCGTTTCATTGTGAAGAGTGCCCTGCAGCGTTCAACCGAAGGGACCTGCTACTCAGGCATCAAGCAACTCACACAAAGAATGCTAAAGATGGGCTCGTAGGCCCATATCGCGTAGCAGAACGTGCCACAAAGGCCTGTAACTCCTGCGTCGTATCAAAAGTCAAATGCGACAATGGAAGGCCATGCAAACGGTGCCAAAAGAAAAGCCTACCATGCCTGACAAAGTCGCCCGATCCGTCACCGCTCGCTCAAGCAGGTGTAGGACAACAGTCAGCGCAAGTGTTTGCAGCATCTGTTGGAGAGCAAAACAACCCATACCAATTTGACGATGACATACAACTGAACGATGTCTACCTCAACGAGACCAATACTGAGGCGCAAGCTCTACTCGATCTGTACAATACCACTGGTTATACCCAGCATACCATCCCGGCCTTTTTCGAACAGATCATGGTTCCCGCACCTGACTTTTTGGGTAGTGACTACATGCAACCGCCTCCAGATCTGACAGCATGGATGCCAGAGACTGACTGGCTTGGTCAGGTTGACATATTTGGCAATGATTTCACTCCAACTGTCAGTCAGATGCTAGAAGTGCAGACATCGCAGGTGACTGCCTTGCCTTCTGCAACGCCGCCTCTCAATACAGATGTTGCTCACGAGAAGATTGATAGCAACTCCGCGAAGAGGCGCCATGCAGTCTTCAAACAGTCTGCCTGGTAAGCCACACTGACCGATAGACCAATCAGCGCTGACCTACTTTAGGTTCTGGATCCCCGAGCGTAACCAGCACGCTTTCAGCGAGCACGAAAACATCGCTCTGGACGAGCGTAACGTAGATCTTGCCTCGTCACCACACATGCCATATTCTTCCAACGTTGTGATCCCAGATAAGCTTTCGCCGGCAGCCCGCGACCGCATCTTCCAATTGGTGTCGAAGACAGCACAGAGCCATATCACCATTCCGTCGTTCCCTTCGGCAGAGTGCGTCGACAAGCTGATCAAGGTTGGAATTGCAAAAAGAACTGAGACTGATGCATGGATCCATCCATATACCTTCGAAAGCGAGACTTCCCGGCCAGAATATCTCACCGCCTTGGTGGCAGCTGGGTGCGTATGTTTTGGCGTACTCTCGGTGAGCAGAACAGGCTTGGCGCTACAAGAGATAGTCCGAGTCGCGTTAAACAGGTTGGTAAGTCTTTTGCAGATACCAGGCCTGACACCAAGTCGAAGGATGTCTAATACGTCTCCAGTCCGAGAATGATAACAGTGTGATACGCGACCTTGAATACCTCCAAGCTTCGATGCTTTGGCTTGATATCGGGGCGTTCTGTGGGTACAGGAGGAAGATGGAAATCGCGGAGAGTAGCTTGCAATCTCTTGTCACGGTAAGAAGCTCTGCTATGATAGTATAACACACGCTGACTCTATAGGCACTGCGGCGCGCTGGCAGATTCGACCACATCCGGTATCCTGCAGTTACACCATCTGCAGAGGATGGCGACGAGGAACTACATGCAAAGTGGAAGCAGTGGGTGGAGCAAGAATCTTACAAGAGGTATGGCAGATACAGTGGACTCTGTTCACCCAGCATCTAATACAGACAGGTTGGTATATCATTTGTTCGAGCACGATATCCACATGACTATGGCGAAGCATCGCCCGCCACTGATCAGCTACGCTGAACTTACGCTTATGTTGCCTGCATCAAAGACGCTGTGGTTGGCACCTTCAGCAGAGACATGGCGAATGCGCTATCTTGACATGGACGTCGTCGCCAGCGCTCCCTCACTGCAAACACTTCTGAAAGACGAAGCTGACATACACTGTCTTCCTGCCACCATCGACATGCAGGTCGCTCACTCATCCTATCTACACGGTATTGCTGCTCAGATTTGGGAGTATGGACAGCAATCTGCGCTGATGAACGAGAGCAGCGACGCCGCTTCACAGCTCTGGGCTCGATCTCGTCAGGAAAAACTGTTGGTACATCTTCCCGTATAACTAACAAAGCTGACACTCTTCCACAGATACCACTATCTACAACGCGAAGACCTTTTACCTAGCAAACATCCAGCCGTAACCTGCCTATTCCACCAATTCTTGCAGATGTACCTCCACGTGAACCTCGATCTAATCACGCGCTTCGCCGGCAAATGCGGCGAGAGCGCTGCCAACAGCGCGTACACTCACCTCTCACCCTGGAGCCAAACCAAAGAAGCCAGAGTCGCAATCTGGCATGCTGGACAAGTGGTAAGAGCTGCGCGACAAATCCCACCTTACCAGATCCGCGGCCCAGATTCCTTCATGTTATACCATGCCATCATGGTCCTCTGGACATACAGCATGATGATGCGCGACCTGGCTAAGAAGACCGGTACGACGACGCCGATGCGCACACGGCCAAGTTCGCTTCCGAGCAAGGTTATCTACCTCGATGATGCCGCCTCTGATAACCAGGCTAGTGTTGTTAATTCCTTCATTGCTACGAATAGCGGTATACCGTGCCTTCGCATCATCTCTACGCACCAGCCAGTGCCATCGGAGTCTGGGGCGATCACTCGGCCCGAAATCTGTAACCTCAAGTTTCCTTCGCAGGTTATGAAGGTGGGTGTCATGCTTCTTGAATCCACACACCCGGATGTGGATCGCGAGACTGGACCACCTCTTGTGCGGGCTCTTTGCGGACTGATGGAAGAACTGGGAGGTCTTCGATGAGAGGACTTGGTGTATTCCATTGCCATGGCAGAACCCAACGCTTACAATCTCGATGGCTGTCATTCCACATTTCCTTATCAATCAGCACCGTGCTCGCGCACACCTTGATCAAAGGTTGGGGACCGGGCAGCGTAGTCAAACGAGCGCATTGCAACGAAGAATGAGACACTGATCAAAGAGCGATTAAAATGTATTTCGTGATCTCATAAGCCCGAGCACTTCGCGCTAGACCCTTCCATTCCACAGTACCAAGAAAGCAAAAACACGCTTCGACTCAACATCCCCAGACCCACCCGATAGCCATCGGAGGTCCAGTACAGTGCGAAGCCCACGTAGCCATCAGAACCGCCGTTCACCGACGGCAGTCATGACAGTGTATGTACACCCCACTTAAGCCTTGTTAGAGCCGCGCTTTGAGCCACTCGCAAGATCGGCAAGATCCTCCATGAGGTCATTCCAGATCTGCTTTACCATACCCTCACCCTCCTCACGGGTCGAGGTGAATTTGTTGGCGACAGCCTCAGCGATGCCCTGGTAGCCAGACTGGTTTGTGTCGGACACTTCGGTCATTGCGGAGGGGGAGTGGATGTGGGTACCGTCAGCGGAGACAGTGTAGATTGTGGGCTGCATGGGGATCTAGGAAGCATGTCGTTAGCACTCTTGCGCGATAAGCAGAAGACAGAGAGTGGGACAAGACTTACGGAATCCTCGCTCTCAGCACCCCGGCTGGCAACGTTGGCCCATGGGATGATAGGGACTCTAATGCCCATGGGCGCGCTTCGGCTCTCCAGGTCGAACTCCGGGAAGTGCATAAAGTCCAGGGTACTGGAATCGCCAACGGATTTCAAACTCCTCGATGTGTTAAAGCGGCGGACTTTGTTGCCGGTCTCGGTAGCCTCGGGGACTGGGATGGTTTGCTCGCCATGAAGGCGGATGGGTCCAGCTGAACGATTTGAGGCATAGGGCTTGTCGGTTGTGAGGAGCGATGAAGAGGCAGTCGAACCTGTCATTGACAGCTGGCGGACTGTGAGACGAGGGCCCAGAAGGCGGGGGCCGGCGAGGGCGCTGATGATGCGAACGCTAGGTTTTGAGGCGGCCATTGCGAAGATGTGTGTAGTGTTGATGTGTGGGGAAGTTGATGTGAACGAAACGCAAGTGCGCGCGAAGGGGAAGAAGTAGTAGTATGCAAAAGAAGCAAGACGAGCAATTAGTGGTAGATTATAAGACGATAAGGTTTCAGTGACGCAAAGATGCGGGCGTCAGTAAGCTTCGGAAGGCGGCGGGCAAATGGGAAGCGCTATCGATCGAACCGGTAGACAGGAACAGGTGTTGAGAGGACAGGAACTGACAGCTGAGCTCGCGACACAGTGAGGGGAAGCTCTCCCTTTTCTAAGCCCTCGAGCCTCACAACACAGCAGCGGCGACCACCTTTCGGATTCCTTGGCCTGCGTTCTGGAATCGCTACAGAGAGCGGTCAGTGAGCTGTGCTGTACAACGACTCAGGACACCCTCGTGGATTTGTTCACTTCATAACGAGTGGGCACATCGGGGATGCAGCGTTGGACTCCGTGGTGCTCAGTGGATGGGAGCTTGCTGGGAGGGAGCTTGGGGCACCCACTATACTGCATGTGGCACAAGGGCTGGCCCGAACCAATGGAAGGGACCCACTCTAGCATGCCCAGCACGTCTCCCCCGCACTTTTGATCATGGTCGCAGCGTGCTCAAATAAACCGTCTGATGTCTTGATGATGACAACGGCACGCGATTAAAGTGAAAACATGATAGTCGTTGAGCGTCCACGCACAGCATGTTCGTTCGTGATGGCGACCACCTTGAACGCAACGGCGCCAAAATGTCGGTGTAGCAGTTGTTGAGCGCACAGTTGCAGGGAGGATCGCCATAGGTTTAGCGATGTCGGCTCCCTCCCGTCACCATGCACAGGGCATACTTGTGCCTGTATGATCGGCTCTCCACCCAGTGCGCATAAGCTTCGGTGACACTTTACTGGGCAAATGAGGCGTGCGATAAGGAGATGTGCCCAGCCTGTTCTGTTTTACCAAGACGTCAAGATCGGGGTCTTGTGATACCTGCATGCTGACCTTGCATGTATATACGATGCAATCTGGTTGTGGTGGTGTTGTGCTGGGCAGTCTGCATCTCGATGTCGTGCTGGGTCTGCGGCTTGATCTTGCTATCCGTGCGATCGATGTCTGCAGCACAGACGGTCAAGGTCGACAAGAAGTTCGAGATTCCTGTCGCAAAGTCTTCCCAAAGGAGTAAAGTGAGGCTGTGAATTCCATGATTAGAAGCGTCCCACCCTGACTAAGATATACCACTGCCCCACTGCGCACCATGTCCACGTACCAAATCTGCACCAGCCATCTCAAACCAACATTCCCACGCGACTCCACTTACCCAACGACTTTCCAGGCGTCCTCGACATGTCCTTGTGAGTGGTTTTGGCCAAGTACTACAACCACCTACTTTCGAAATTTGTCATCAACAAGACAAAAGTCGGCCTGATGGTCTAGTGGTATGATTGTCGCTTCGGGAAAATTATCCTGGATACAGAGTATCTGTTATGTGACAGGCCCCGGGTGTAAGTTGTCACAGTCTTGAATATGTGAAGTTTAGAGTCTAACGTTTGTAAAGTCGAATCCCGGTCAGGCCCACTCTCCTTTTTTGCTCGTGCAAAGCCTATAGAAGCTCCGCACTCTCTGCGTGATTCTCTGCATCTTTTTTTTACCACTTTATGTATATTCTAAGATTTGAATTCACCTTTTCCAGAAAACGCTTTCTTTTGCTCTGCATGTTTGTAGTTTTCAGACGTAGGGACGAGGCCGCATATAACACATAGAACATCTTATAACGCGCATCTTCGCATCTTCCCTGCTTGTCTTAAGGACAGTATAGCATGAACCAATATCATGATAGGAGATCCTACAATTTGCGTATCTATGTGCGCCTCTACAAAGCATAAGTCTCCAAAACGCGCATTCAGTAACCAGGCTAGAGACCCTCTTGTGCTTGCTTTCACAAACACGTGGTACAAGAACACAAGCGAACACACGTTGCAAACGATGCGCTTCTAGATTAGCAATCATACTAGATCTCCGGCTGGCGTCCCATGTTGCATGATTAAACTTACATACATCAAGACGATTTTCAGCGTAGACAATGCACCAGTCACACCACATCTCAAAGAACCAAGATTAAAGTGTAAGCTTGAAGCTGCATTTCGTGTGGTATATACTCTCGTCTAAGTAGATCACTAAACGCCACCAAGCAAAAATAGCAGCAAGCAGGCGTCGAGGCCCATCTCCAAAGCAAAACTCCTCGATAGTCTCCAATCCGGGGGTATCAATGACCCTTAGGCGCGTACGAAGGCAATGAAAGTGGTATCCAAACAAGAAACATGAAGTGACAGAAGGCACAGGCGCGCATGGTTCGTAGGAACAAGTCGTGAATGCGTTGCAGAATCGTGAAGAGATGAAGGCCGCCAGAGAAAGCAGAGCGTGAAGAAGGACGGTTACCGTCCGTCGTACGAGTCACTAACCCATCCGCTGTTGTTTCCACCAGCGTACATGGGCTGTTGACCGCCCTGCTGATAGTCGCTCTCTTCTTCAAAATACTCGCCTCCACTAGAAGCATCGAAACTGCTGCGACCGCTGATATCGCCATCGTCGTCAGGCGGCCCGGCTGGGAGCTGATCCCACTGAATGCCCGCGAGTGCTGGGTACTGAGCGAGAATGGCAGCAGGCAGGAATGGCTGTGGGGCTTGCATCCCACCAGCCTGAGGGAACGACTCGAAGCCAGTTTGCCCGGGCATCATACCACCAAAGTTTTGAGCTGGCATTGGTGCGAACATGCCATTGCCATTGTTCAGCTGCTGGTTCTGGCCATCCCATTCACCCTTCTCGCGCGCCTCCTCTTCGAGTAGCGGACGGATACACACGCGGCCTGCCTCGGATCGGAAGTGACGTCCAAGAGCATCTGCACGGGCGAATCGTCGACCGCAGCCCCAGTTGTTGCCATTCTTGAGGTTGCCACGGCAGACAAACTTCTTCTCGCCAGAATGGAGGCCTTCATGTCGCTTGCGATCGTGTTGGCGCGCGAAGGCTTTCCCACAGACACTGCAGACGAACGGACGCTCGTCCGTATGTGTGCGCAAATGCGATCGGAGGTTGTAGGCTCGAGTGAAGCGCTTCGGACACAGCGTGCACTGGAAGGTTGCCGGATGCTTCTGTGTGCGCTTTGGGTTGGAGCCATCCGCCGGCGCAGGTCGCGACGGATCTGCAAGATCCAAGATGTAGTCGCGATTGGGTACGCTTGATGTAGAAGAACGGCGCGAGGATTTATTCGAGGGCGAAGGGGAACGAGACTTGGCAGCGTGGGGGGAAAGTGAGCGGTTCACATCCGAGCCTGGTGTTGATGCGCGCGAGCTAGCACTGCTGAAAGGATCGGATCTGGCGCGAGTTCTGTTCCGGCTGCGTGCTGTTTCGCTGTTAGAAATGGTTGGTAGGATTTATTGGACTGCTTACATCTGTCTGGCGGGCTCAGCGCATCTATTTGATGCTCGGGCTTGGGTGGCTCAAAGCTTGCTTGCCGTGAAGGCGGTGCAAAGTCAATATTGATTTCCGGCGGTGACATGGCGTCGGCCTGACCGAACTCAGGCACAGGCTGGTTCAGTGAGGGGAACGGCTCAGCTTGACCTGGGTAGCTATTCATGTCTGGAGGCGCATACGGGTTCATGTTCTGAGCGAGACCAAAGGTTTCGGGCTGGAATTGCGGAAGGACTTGTTGATTCGTCGGAAGCAGACGAGGCGAGATGTGAGGGCTGTTACCCGCGCTCATGTGCGCATTGCTGCTGTTCAGGTTGAATCGGTCGAATCCTGGAACAGGGTCCTGGAATAGCTGGGGGTCGTTCTGTGCATTGATGAGGGGTGACGGCTGCTCATTGTCCAAGCTGTCCTGGTGGTGCAGGTACGGCGAGTTGTGCACCGACGATGCGTGTACAGAGGACGCAGCATCGCTGTTGCCCCTAGACCTAGACCTGTGCTGGCCAAAGCCGCCCGCCATCTGCCCCCATTCCGTGATCTGACCGTAGGCCGCGCTGGGATCCAACGACGTGTGTCGCGAATGGCCGGGTGATCTGAAGGGGCCTTGGTTCAGGTTCGGCGAAGCGTGTGGGCTCGGAGAATGGTGGTTGTTCATGTTGGGCAGCAGGTGCGGCGGGGTAGGCGCGTTGTGCTGTGTGGCTGCCATCTGGTGCATAAGATCGGAAGGGTCGATGGACTGGTTGTGTTGCGACTGGCCGTCGAGCATGTGCGGGTCAAGCGTGTTCCCAAGATACGAGGGCAGCGATTGGTTCTGGCCGAGGTCGTTGGCCTGGAAGAAGTTGGCGTAGTCGGCGTTGGTGGAGTTGGCGATGTCGAGTGGGTCGGGCGAGATGTTGCTGCCTTGGGGGCCGAATTGCGGAGTGTTGTGCTGCGAAATGTTCTGCGCAGCTTGGAAGAAAGCTGGGTCGGCAAAGGTGTTCTGCTGGGGGAATGGCTGGCCTTGGGTCGTGGTGAGGAAGTGCGTGTTGTTTAGCCCCGCGCTGGTGACGGCGTACGAGGATGGGTCTTGAGCAGGATCGAAGCCCAGGCCGACGTTGTGCTGGTGCTGGAAGGGCGCATGTGGACTGGGCGAGGGAGAGTGCGCCTTATGAATGCGCTGGCCAACTGAGGGAGAGCGCCCTCGCTGTTGGATATCCATGATGTAGGTGCTGGATTCGCGTGTGCCCAAGAATAGGTGGGATGTGGAGGAGGGAGCCCTGGAGGCCGCGCTTGGGCCAACGTGGAGAGCTTCGTAGACACCAAGAATCAAGGCCCGGCTGTGAGTGGTCGAATATCCTCCAGGTACACGCAATGTCGTCGGGTTACTGGCTTGTCTGCTGAGGCTGGTGAGTGTGAAGGAGGCGCAGTGTAGTCGTCGGTCGCAGGACACAGCCCACCTCACGAAGAGCGACGGCGCTGGAAGCGGCCTAGTCCGCTATAATTAGCCCCGCAATGGGAGAGCCCGCTGCAAAGTTCCTTGTGTGTTCCTTGGTTTCAGACTCTTGAGAGACGTGAAACCACGAGCTAGGGGATGCGTTATGCGTTGTTCCTCTGCCCGCCGGTGATGACGTCGGGAGCAACGCGGGCGAGGGAGCTGGACGTGGGCAGTAGCAATGGCGACAAGCAAGCGCGGCTGCGAGTGCCTGGGAGATACGCGCTGGCCGACGTGGATCGTTGTCGCGTGATAGTCGCAAAGCAATTCGCGGGTTTAGGTTCGGTGGAATAGAGCTGACCGCTACTGGCATTCGGTCTTGGGGAATCACTGTGTTCAACTGCTCACTCCGCCCCAGCCTTATACAACGACTTAGCTTGCGCATATTCACGCGGGACGTCCATTGGTGAAGCGTCTAATAGCCGGCTACGGCGGGCGGTCGACGACACCGCTTGAGAACATCAAAGTGATGCCGAGCCGTCACAAAACGTTCGAATCACACCCTCGGCGACCAATCCGACGGGCAACACTACTGGCCCAATTTCACACACCGCGCGATTCTTTGGCGCGAAGGCCATTCGGCGAGCCGTCGCGTCCCTGAGGTCATTACCCGTAGGCCCACTGAGCGTTCTCTGCACTGCCTCGCTCGAACCAACGTCGCAAGGCGCACTTTCTCAAGGCGTACTCCCATGTCCCCACAAACCAAGCCCTCGCTCCTATCCTCGACAACGTTGTGAGATGCATTACTTAGCTACGATAATAATAGCATATTTGGTCCCAATTGTGTGTTTTCGCAGAGCCGCACAAGTGCATGTGCATCGGGTCCACATCTCGACCATATACTACTTGTGCTAATAGCATGACGCTTCAGGCCACCAAATCTACCCAAACTTTAGGCCTTGTGCAGGGTCCCACCGCCCATCTTGTGGAGGACCTGCAGAAGGTCGAGCGTTCCCGGATGATGTAGGCACCCCACCAAACCGGATTCCAACTTCTGGTGTCCACATACCAGACGGCGGGGGTACATTTGCTCTCGTGGGTGTCGGGGCTGCCAAAGGTTCTTCCGCATGTGCAGTCGCACCATAATGCGGGTTTTGTGCATCTGCTGCTTTCTGCTGATGTAATGAATTTGTCGTTGCTTGCTGGAGGCCGAGGGAGCTCATTCGAGTAGTGAGATCGCTGGGACCATTAGCATAGGCGTTGGAACTAGTCGTTGCATTTGCATACCTTTCTAGATGTGACGCTTCTGACTTGCGATTGTAAGCAAAAGTGCGCGCCTCATCCCGAAATCGATTTACGATCTTAGCTAGGTCATTGTAAAACTTTCGCCCAACGTCGAGATTCGAGATGATCTCCTTGTACTTGAAGTATGCGTTTTCTAAATTCTGCAACGCTTGCTCACGCTTCTTGGTGGATTGATCGCCACGACGAGCGATCAAGAAGGCCGCGTTTGCGTCTTGCAGTCGCTTGATAGCTTCTGCCTGCTCCTTCTCTTCTTCTTGGATCATGTCTTGGTCGGCGTCGTACATCTGAAGACGCTTGTCGAAAAGCCCTTCAAACTGCACAGCCTCGATTGTCTGCATAGGGTATTCCCGTTCTAAGCGAGCAGCTTCGCGCAACAGCTCCGGATCTAGCCTGCTATCAGGATATGGCTTGTGGAGGGATGCGTGGGACTTACTTATGTCGTCTTGCTTCGCCTTTGTCCGCAAGGCCTCAATCTTCCGCCGTCGCCTACTCTCGAGCCTGCTGACTTCATTGAAGCTGCCACGAAGCTTGCCGGCCTCGCGCTCGACATCGCCAGTGATGGCAGGTCTCCGGCCACTCGGGACATAGTTTTCGAGTTCGTGATCTGGTCCACTGAGCAGTCGTATGAAGTGCTCATTCTCCTTCAACTTCGTCTTTACGATATTATCACTGTTAGTAGCAGCCTTGAAGTAGCCGTCGATTTCGTTGATCTGGGCATAGAGCTTAGGCGCTGCTTGCTCTGCAGGTGGTCGTGTCCAGCGTTCTGTGCCAAACTTGCGTCGTGCGCCTTCGTCCTCTGTCGCTTCCGACCTCAGGATATCGACACCTTCTTGATATATAGCTTGGTCGGTGTACATGAGCTTCTTCGTATCCTCCATTGAGCGCAAAAGACGGTTGATGCCATCTTGTTGACGGATCTCTTCAGCGTGTGCTACGAGACCAGGGGGAAGTCCTAGTGGCTTCTCTAGAGCCTGCAAGGAGCCGGGCAAGTTTAAGCTGCGGAGTACCTCGTGAATCTTATTTGTCAATGACTCTAGCTCTTCTACGATGGTACCGTTGACTAATCGATCCCGGCGGTCTACGTAGATGCTAGCAGCCAGATGTACTGAGTAGGGCACCAGCTTGGAGAAGAGCGCTGGGCCAAGCTCGCCGCGCTCTCCCAGCATCGAATTGGACTCGGCTATCTCCTTGGGGACTCTCGAGACTACCATGTTGGCTCGATCCAGGATCTTGAGCTCTGCCTTTGGTGGTACAGGTAGCAGGTAGATCATGTCATTGTCCTTCTCGGCCCGCTTCAGGTCCTCCGTTATCCGGTTCTTCAAGCCGTTGAGATCTGCAAGCACAACTTTGTTGATGTAGCGCTGCTCCTTGAGAGCCTCGTTGACGCACGTAAGGCTGTCGCGTAGCCGTGCGACCTCCTCGCCATACTTGCGCTTCTCGAGAGAATCGCAGGCTGCGCGGTATTGTGCAGCAGCGGCAAAGTGGTGGTGTTTCGCCGTCATATGATGTATCCACTCGCTGCTGATAGCGTCCGATTGTATGCCTGCGTCTCCCGCCTCGTTGTATAGATCGGATACGCGGGCGGCTAGTTTGGCGATGGTCGCGTCTTTCATTCCGTCCTTGACAGCCTTCTGCCAGAAGCACTCCTGTCCTTGAGCCAGCATGAGCTTTTCCAAGCACTCGAGTGTCATGAGGTCCATGTCTTCAGGTGGCTCTGTCCGCAGCTCCGGCAGGATAGTATTCCTCAAGTGCGACAAGACTCCGGCTGCGAGGCAAAAGTTGTTGGCTGCCATCTTCAGCCCGTCTGGTGTGCTCCGGTTCGACGACATGGCCAGCTGGGAGTACATGGCCGCGAGGTTGAACATGATGTTCGCGAGTTCGAAGCGGAGGTTGTTGCGCGATGTCGGGCGGCTCGTGTTGTATCCCAGCGCAGGATACCAGGGGAATTCTACGCCGATGTCGATGGGGAACTTTCCGCTCAGCCATATCAGCTGCGCGGCGTACTGCTGCAGCTTCGGGATGTTGCTCGGGTGGGGTTCTTGGGCGTGGGTGGCGACGGACCGCAGCTTCTCGATCGTCTCGAGGTCTCTGGTGAACATGTCGGGATGCTGGTCATATTTGGAGGATATGTACTGCTTGATGGCGTCGGTAAGGTTCACAGAGTGCGAGCGCCGGAACGGGAGGAACAGGATGTTGCTGGCCATGGTGCGGGTTGTGTCGTCTGCTGGCTGGCTGCTGCACTCAAAGTCATGGGCAATAAAAGTTTGGCCGTGTTTACAGGCAGTGGGCGACGTCACCGCCCAACCGCCTGGGCGTGCGAGGGATGCAGCTTGAGCCCCGCGCTAGCCAACGTGGGGCGGGCGCGGCCTCAGGGTTCAGCAATTCACCTGCAGGAACGGGCCCAGCACATGCGAGACTTGGACATGGCAATTTACGGGTCGCGGCATCCAAGACACCGTGTTCCCATGTCAGAGCACCGGCGAGGACACCTAACCGTGTGCTCCCGGACCCTCACAGAGCATGTTTCATGCCACCAGAGTATCGCCATGTCAAACGAGACACGGACATTGTACATACATGGCTGAGGCGCGCGCGGTTCCACAACCCGGAAATGTCGTGATGGAGGCTCAATATGTCAGCGGGGCGCGACGGCAATCTATAACAATCTAGCCGAATTGCACCACCATCTTGAAACTTGCTCATCCGCTCGTCGCAACGTCCTTCCGCTAGTAATACCTATATATACTAGTCACAGCTCCTCTCTTCGCGGTTATCAAACAACGCCACATCGCAGCCCCGCGACCCGCACTAAACCTCGGACTTTGCCAGCAGCACCACCTACAAACCTCGTACACCATGACGCACACCTACAAGTTCAACGTTGCCATGAGCTGCGGCGGCTGCTCTGGCGCTATCGAGCGCGTCCTCAAGAAGCTCGAGGGTCAGTTTCCGATGCAGCATGCGCCGGCGGTCCAGGAATAACGTTCTAACTACTCCACAGGTGTTGAGTCGTACAACGTCTCGCTCGAGAACCAGACCGCCGAGATCACCGCCGCCGATTCGCTATCCTACGACACCGTCCTCGAGAAGATCAAGAAGACTGGCAAGACCGTCAAGTCCGGCGAGGCTGACGGTGAGGCCAAGGACATCTAGAGAGTGCAACGTAGCATGCACCTACGACAACCTTTTTCTATATTATTTTTGGGTCAACGAGCGATGGGTTTCACGGCTATGTTTGCGCGCAAGCTCTGAGCTGCCGCCACGGCCCTCTACATCTGGTGCGATTTTGTAGATGCAGCGAATAAATGAAGAATACCCTCCCACCCTAAATTCACACCTGACTATGTGAGATACCAAAATCGCTTTCGGGCGCGATGCAGGTCAAGACATCAATAATGTAGCACGTTCGAATCATTTTCAGGGGGTTCCGATAGAGTCAAGAGCGGTGCACATGCGCCATCACAGTCGTGCCCAGTGTCGCGGCATCTCGGTGTTCCACCAGATTGCTCCTGCCCCAAGCGGCGCGCAGACGTCACATGCCACGAGCTGAAGCCGGGTCGCCACGCATCATCGCGAAGCCACCGTATCCAAGCTCCCCCATTACAATTCCCATTGCTATCTTGGTCACAACAAATCTCCGGCCCTGATGTAATTCCGCGACAGCTGACCAGCAGAATCTGGTGCCTGAGCCTTAAGGCGCTCCGCCGGACCTCTTAGCCTTGACCTCAATCTGAACGTCTCCGACTTCTTCCTTTAACTCCGCTCACAGCCACCGTCTAATCATCTTGGAGTTGTTTCAATGCGTTCAAGTGCTTATCCGCGTTTTCGGCGCTCCCGTTACGCGTGCCGCTTACCGAACGCGTTCGTCCACTGGCATGGATGCGAATGGGGATGCCTAGTCTCTCATCACGGCAGTTTACGAGGTGAAGAACAGGCAGCTACATCTGAACTGGAGCCGCCATAGGCGATACACGTATTCAAATTGATTCGAACGCAAAGCGATATGGGCCTGTGTACGCCTTGCTGCACGATCGCGAGTCTGGTCGGGAGCAGTCGGTCACGAACGGCTTCTAACCGGACTGAGTCAGCGAGCTTCCAAGGGCACCAAGGGGCTGAGCCGCACCTCACTAATGCAGATCATCTTACAGTGGGGGATGGGTATCCGTATGACGCTTGACAATACTCTCGCCCTGTTCAATTCTACCTTGGTTTCAGGGATGTACGAGAGCTTACTGCCTGGAGTGTATAAAGCCATCCTGAGGCCGCACGGTAACATTGCCATACACATCCAGCTCATTTGAGCAAAACACCTATTCATCAGTCAAGTTCAATCTCCACTCCATCGTACCGACCGTCACATTTCCTCATGCCGTCTCCACCAAGAAGCGCAATATCATTTCCGAGTCAGGCCGACCTCTTCTATTTCTGCACCACCTCATCAACCTCCGAAGAAGACCTCAACATCCACTACGCACCTCCATCAAAATCCTCATTACGCATCGGCGTGCTAGTACTCAGCAACGACCAAATCCAACTAGCCGACCTAGCCGCACTTGACCTCCTCGCCATGGTGGGAAGAAACAGAATCAGCAGAATGCACGCCACGGCATCCGCTCTCGACTCCGCCGTGGACGAAATCGACATTCGATATGTCAGTGTGACCGGAGAGGGGAGTTTTCCTGTCACGGCTGGCACGCGAATGCCGGTGACGGTGAGCTAAAGCTTCGAATTGCTCCGTATCGAACCCACGAATCGACACGACAACACCCAGCCCACCCATCTATCCATCCATACCCTTCCAAACAGCCATCTCCTCTGGCCAAGAAGAGCCATCCTTTTTGGTCGATGCTGGATTCGCCTGGTCTTGACTACACTTTCATAAAGTAGTCATCTCTGACAAGTCTGGCAGGGAGGTAAAGGTCAACAACGAGCCCCTTACCCACTATTCGCTTCAACTTCTTTTTCCGAGTACTGTGACTGACGTTGGCCTAGAACTCGTTTGACAACGCGCCTCAATTCGATATCCTCGTCATCCCCGGCTCCTTCTCAGCGACCGCAATGCCGGTAGAAGCTACCTCCTTCCTCACCTCGCAATGTCTAAACCCCAATCTCATCGCCATCATGAGCATAGCCTCGGGGATCTATCCCCTCGTTCAAGCGGGCATCTTGCATGGAACACGAGCCGCAGCACCCAGATCACTACTTCCTATGCTGCAGCAACAGTATCCCGACACGCTGTGGCAGCATGGCTCCTGGGCCCGCCACGAAAAAGTGTGGTCGAGCAACTCGGCCGTTTCGGCTCTCGATATGGTTTCGACGTGGATGCGCGAGTACTTTTGGGATAGGAGTGAGACGGTTGACTTTGCGCTTACGGCGGCGGGTATGGGCTCGCTTTATGACTATAATCACTGCGATTATTGATGATTCGATGAGCATGGTGAGCATGGAATGGCGTTCTTTTGGATATCATCTCAACTCTGTATAACAAGGGCACTGTTTTGGCAGGAATGAGGCGTTCTTGAATTGTTATATAGATTTGTATGAGATTTTGCTGCAGACTTGCATGTGATACAGTGACCTGGCTTACATGCCGGTTTGTTGTAGCCCCTGAAAGCCATGAAAAAGTCAACCCCTTCATACTCGGGGACTTGTTCATGTCTCATATATCCCATGATCATCCCGAGAAGTGTCCAAGCCCGGGTGCGCTCACCCAAAACCATACATAGCCATAGCCATAGCCCTAGCTTGGTCTTCGTTCCGCCACGCACTCTCCTTGACCTTCTTCTCCCGCCTGAGCTCCACTGTAGAGTCAGTGCTGAAACTTGATCGGATGTGGGCTTCATCCTTATGGGCGCCATTGACTGCAGCCGTAGCTTCATGTGTAACCTGACCTAAACTAAGATGCGTGGTCGACATCAGCAGGGCGTCTATATCGGTACTATCAATTGTTTCGTCACCACTATCCAGACTCATTGCCGCTGACGTGAGGAGGTGATGGTGCGATGCCAGACTGCTCGCTTCGCCATGCGTGGAACGCAGTTCGGGAGATATGCTACCGGCGCCGCCTCGCATGTTCATCATGGGACGAGGAATTGCATCGGTTTGTGCGCGGATGCCTTGTAGCCAGGCCATCGTTGTGGCATCTACCGTTTTGTGGTCATAGTAGGTGTTGAGACGTGAGTGGTACGGATATCCCAGTGCGGGATTGAATGGTAGGACCTCTCCATCGCGGCGGCGGACGTATAACTTTCCCTCGCGATCTGGTGGGCCAAACCTTGTTTGCGGTATACCTGCTGCGTCGCTGGGGGTGAAAGTGGGTTCTGGTTGGTGGTACGTGGAAGATTTGGGAACAGGAACACTGTGAGGCTCAGCGGCTCGCGTTAGAGCTTTGAGTGATGGCGAACGTGCGCGAGGTGGATGTTGAAGCCGTGTAGCACCTTTCGACCGAGCAGTGTCTTGGGACGCAAAGTCGATGACTTGAGTATCCTCAGCGGACATATTATCATCGGTTCTTCTTCCCCACCTCCCTCTCCTTTTCTTAGTCTCCACCTTCTCGACTTTCTTCGCCCTCCTGCCTCTTGGATGCTCCCAACCCCTGCTGTCCGACTTCTTTCCATCATCCCCACTAGTCTGCGGCCGATCGCGGCTGAATACAGTCCTTTGTTGTGGTGCCGGAGTCGACATGAACATCCCATGGTTTGCTGAAGAGGCTTTTCCACTTCTTGGCCACCCAGTCGCATCGGCACTCATTCCCGACTGCTTTACCGGAGGCTGTCGCTGTGAATACGTCTTGTACTTGGGATCCGAAGGAGCAGCGAGGATCAGGCGTGTGAGTTTTCCTGCCTTGGAGAGGACTGTTTGTAAGGAGTGCTTGCGCTTGATGGAAGCGGGCTCGAAGGCTGCCGGAGCAGGTACAACAGACGGGTAGCCAATCGTGTGAATGCGATCGCTTTGCTCTCGGGGCGTGACCTTAGCTTTAGCTGTAATAGGACCGTGGCGAGGCAGATATTGCGAAGGTGTCGGTGAGCTGGTAGGGCGATAATCTCCCACAGCTGCCGGGCGCTGCAAATCATGCCGTCTCTCGATCTGCTGGCGCCGCATTACTGCAGTGACGCTGTCGTCCGGTGAGATAGTGTCCAGATCAGGCTCTCGCGATCCCAGTACCTCCTGCTGCTGCCGCCTGACATCTACATCGCGTCTACGA